TCGCAGGCGTTGAGGACTTGAAAAAAGCGATAATCGAAGGATGGCACCAAGTTGATCAGGAGTTGATTGATAGCCTTTATTTGAGCTTAGACCACCGTATTTTCCAAGTAATTTGGAGGAATGGTGGACCAACTGATTATTGACTTTGCAAATTTCTCTCATTGTTGTATGTTTGTTGTTAAATAAATTAATTTTGTTAGTGGCTGTATCATTTTGCGACGTTGGAAAAGCACCCTTTATTGAAAAATTGACCAAAAAAATATTTGTGTTTTCGAGCTGGAATTTGGTGATAATGTGCGAATTGCAATTCAAATTTGACACATTTTTTACTTTGGCAGTTTTTCAGAAACGTCATGTACTGTGAGTTTTTGGGAAAATTAGAGGTGGCTGTATCAATTTGCGACGCACTGTAGAGGTTGTACGAGATCACCATGGCGTGATTGACATAAAAATGTCATGTTTTCACCTTATCATGAGGCAGAGCCTCGAATTCATACCATAGCGAAATCTCGGAATTATTTTTATCATGAACTTTGTTTTGAAGGCACGGTTCACGATAAAAATGGTTGCTGAGTTCTCCCCTCAGGTATACCCGGTGATCCCTGAGGGTGATAGGAAGGATCCTCGCACAAAAACTACGGTTAGGGCACAGTGGTAGCCCCGTTTCCGGCTCGAGCGGGCTTCCCGTCCCACGATCGATGTCACGTTAAACGAAAATCGAGGCAATAGAGATTGCAAGTATTCGCGTCAGGACCCACACACAATCTGCTGATCACCAAGTGATGGGGCGAAGTTTTTTACCAATCTTTTTTCTGTGTTATTCTTTTTCCGTTGCGATCCTCATTCTAATTCTCTACCTCAAAGGCTGAAAAAGATTGGCTATTTTTGTTGCTACTAGGGTTCTTTTTTGTTAACTTATGCTTATGAATTGATGAATTTTGGCTTACCGTAGTCAGCTCTTCGGACCATTACCCACACGTACGCAATGGCGCACAGTGTATGGCTCGTCCAAACTCCTTATTTGCTCCTTATTTTTCTGAACTTATTCTCGTCAAGCCCCTTTTTAACGATTTCCGAAGCCTTTTTCACATTGGAAACACCAATTCACGCAGTTTCTTCGCCTTCATCGCACTATTTTCAATATTATCCTCCACTCTTCGTCATAATCTGGATCACCCAAAATCATCGTGAACTGGCCTTTGAGTCAAACGAGAGGAAGTGCCTGACGTTTTGAGATGCTTTTTTTTGAATTCATGTAAACCACATAGATATGTGCCCTTTGTAATAACGGCAACCAACTTCTCCTCACCATAGCCAAATCCTCGCATTGCCATGAAAATATAGACATAGTCGTCTGAGGTCATGTCTAGCTGTGATGCCCGAATGATGAAATTCCGACGATCACCGGGTCCATCCAGGCATAAAAGCACAACTGTAACATTCAATGTTTCCCGATATAGTAGTCATTACCCAATCTTTCTTGAAACTGACTTCTTGAACGCTGTCGCACTTCGTTTAGTGCTTCATCAAATGGATTTGTACGGCTTTTGTCGATCTTCTTTTTATAGACCACGTCTGCGTTATAAACACGCACATCGCTTAGAGCGCCCTGCAATAATTAAATAAACCGAACTGTAGGAGAGGGCGACAATAACGAACATTCTGAGCAACATACCTCTACTTCGTCAACAATATCATCGCAGTATTTGACCTCGTTTGTTGTGTAAAGTATAGACAAGTTGTCCCATTCGAATAGTTCTATGAGACGCAAGATGCTGTATCCAAGCCTTAATCAAGCCTCCAATCACCGAAATAGTTCAGGTCAATATTAATCTCTCTTTGAATGGGTTGTCAAAGTCGTCTCGTCTTCTAGCTTGAAAAAATCCTACAGGCAGCAGTTCGACAACAACGAGATCGCCCTTCAATCTAGTGTCGGTATATGACCTTAGGCTAGGAATAACTTGTGAAAAAGCTCTCGGACGAGTTTTCATTGTAGTGCATTTCATAATATTAGGAGAGGGGAGGTGGGGATGTGGAGAAGGGGAAAAGTGAACAAGCTATATTTTAGGGTTCTGGTATGAAACACACATACTTTGAAGGTGAACTGGGTGATTTGCACTCATCTATGGGATCGCTTTTGGATATCATCAAATGGGGTCCATGTTCTCATTAACACTTTTGCCAATGTTCTGAGTGTTCTACGAAAATGCTGGGTCAGTACTTCTTCAGCTTCTGCTAGACAGATCATTAAACGGAGCCAATGACCAATTACTCCTCCAGAAGTCAATTCGGTAAATAGTTTCGTAAGGAAAAGTAATTGGCGAGGTGATATGATGCACGACTCGCCCTAAGGTAGGATGAGCTCACTTCTATGACAAAAGAGAACAAATCATCGCTGGAGAAACCAATGAGTGACAAGACGGCAGCAGCAAAACTCACGATATTGATGAGGCGCTGATTGTGGTGGCATAAGGGAACTTATTCGCATTTGAGAAGTCAGCAGACGAAACAAAACCCCAGCCTATAAATGGGACGCTGTATGTGGTTGACAGATGAGCCATCATCGTTGCTGCTGAAACGTTTTCATTTGAAATTGAAAAGAAATGGCTGCGGAACACAACGGCTCAGAATACAACTGCGCACCTTCCGGACACGGTGGCCCTATCACAGCATCGACGCTTCTATTTTTCATGTAGTCTAGGGCTGCTCCAATAGTCGCACCGACCTCGCATTCTGTGTAGCCGACGACAAACCGGAAAAAGATCTATTTTTCTCCCCAAGCATGTAGCCCTAGGATTTGATACCGCACGAATGTTGCCTTGATGAAAGCTCATTGGAACGCTTCTGCTCCCTGGTTTTTTTTCTGCAGCGTTTATACTAACGATATGATACAGATAAAGGAATAGTTTGAAATAAAACGTGCGTTTTCTTGAACGGAGGATGTTCTGTTGAGAGCTTTGATCGCGCAATCACACAACTATATCATAAGCGGTTGGGACGGTTCACTTATATTTATTGTATTATATGGGGAGGTGGTGGTGGTGGCAAGAGACGCCCTATCACACAAATTCCACCTCGGTTTTTGATACTCGCCCAGGTCAACTGAGCCTTCTATCCCTTCGAGGTCGATAAATTAGTAAATTAGTGCCGAACCCGTCTAGGAGAATAGGAGCGCTGACTTGTACATCGGTTGGCCATCTCGAGTTACTGTATAGACCACTAACTCTTTCAACTTGAAACAACTGTTCTGAATCTGATGAAAGGCGAGTGCTGCGGCCAAGACAGAAGTGGTGAACGCTAAAACGTTTTTTATGTTTATATTAATTATATTTTACATGTATATATATAAGGGTGGAGGTGGTGTAGTGGCAAGTGGCGCACTATATCACACGCACGGTCAGGTGTTCGAATCTCGGATCGATGCCCGCCTAGGCCAACCAAGCCTTCCATCCCTTCGGGATCGGTGAATTGGTACCAGACTCGTCTGGGAGGATAAAAGCAATGACTTGTACATTGGCTGGCCACCGCAAGTCATTGTAAAGGCCACATACGCACTCATTACGCCACTACGATTCTGAATGGAAGTCGAGTGCGGGGGCGCATCCCTCAGGCGGGATTGTTTAACGCCAAAAACTTTATCCTTTATGTATATATATAATTCTTGATGTCCTTCAGATCTATGAGGGGCATTTCACGAACCAAAAATACTTTGCCCATAGGCAGAAATGCCATCGCGAAGATAACCTAGTGATAACCCTCAAATAACTGTTTTATAAACCTTTAAATTCTCTATATGGTTTGATAACATTAGAATTGCAACTCTTGCAAGGCCATGGAATGTGCTGCTCAAGGGAAAATAATCTGAAATCTCCAAAATTCATTCTGTCAAGCTTTTCGACAGTTTCCTTTACACAAATACCACCATACTACCGCCCATTGATCGAGTAGTCGCACTGCTTGAATAGAAGGTCATCAGAAGAATGAAGGTTGTCTATACCTGAATTCATATTCTTCTATCAGCTTTCTCTCGTTCAGAAGATCCATCGCCTCTCCAATCGCACCACCACATCTTGACCAACCAATGTGTGAAGGTAGAAGGATTTCATCCACAACCAAACCCACGGTCACCTTTATGAAGTGTGTTGAATGAGAATGTCTAGTTAATTTTAATTAGAAAAATTTTTCCTTAGCAATGTCACAGAAAATGAATGGAATATTCAACTGTACTCTCCCAAACTGATCTGAATGAGAGTACGAGTTTCGCTAAAAAAGTCATGAGGACTAAAGAGCATTTGAAATAGAGATGAGCCATTTAGACGAAAGCCATGAGTGTTGAAAGTTCAGTAAAAGAAGGGAGCTTCATTCATTTATGGCCACTCTATGTACTGCTACTAGATGGACGATAGCTAATTCTGAGAAAAAGCCAAGATTATAACAAGCAATGGCTTTTTAATTCTGCTCGAAGCATTTAATTTGAACGTAACTCCTTTCGTTGAAACAATATGCTCACTGTGGTACATTTCCAAAGGAATCGCTTTTTTGTATATACCGAAATCATACATACAAAAAGAGGACGTAGATGAGCAATAACTTTTCCAGCAATTTTTCCATTTTATTCTCCACCATTAAGGTCCCCCGGTTCACGCCGGGTCTTATCCTTTACTTCTACAAATTAGTCGGAAAGTGTAGTTAGGGAAGTATCGCTTTCATTAAATATTGAGGGACTTGAACGCAGGGCAGGGGTTGCAGCGGTGAGATAATTACCTCGTGCAAAAAGCTAGGATGGAGTGTGAATTGAATATCCAATTGATTCACCCTTCTCGATGCTCCTGAAGTTCAGGTCAAAACTGTATACTCTCGGCTATGAAACGATCTCGAGCACAGTTATGGCCGAATCTCCTTATATACCTCTCTCTAGCGCTCAGTGTTGAAAAAAGCGGAGGTTCCCCAATAACATTATCACCTTCGATTATTGTGTAGACATGTAGAGCACGACGCCAATACAGATCGAAATCACAGTTTTGAAGTACCTACTCCGCTTCATATTACTCGCTTCATTCCGCAGTACTCTCTACTCCATTAACCTATCCACCAAATTACTGCTCTACAAAAGGAGGAAATGAATAGGATAGAGCTGGGTTTCCCCTATCACCCCTTTTATTGTTTATCATAATTTTCACGGACGGACAGACAGACAAACGCATAAACCGACACACCGAGTTACGGCTTTATAAATAAGAGAGATAGAGCTTTTAAAAATTTATAGATTCTCTTGTGAGGTTTTTGGTAGATATCCCCGATCACCATAATGTAACAAAGTCAAACTCATGACATTCCATACTTAGGGTTCAGCAATAACTCATTACAAACTTACAAGTTTTTTGACGATGGGTGTGATGTTCTGTGGGCTAGCAACGCTTATCAGAAGCCAGAGCGCTACCAGCCTTGGCATTAGCACGATTGTGACCAAGCAGGACTTTTCATGTGCTTCAAACGTGTGGCTTCTAATTGACTTGCTTAAAACAGTCTTTGCTCCGAAGCCATTTCGAAATTTCTCGTTCGGTCTTAATTTAGAACCGAAACCCTCACTCACAAGACTCACGTAGAAGTCATAGGACACTGAATACCTGAAGGATAAAAGGAAGAAGAATAAAGTTCTTTTGGTGTGAATGGATCCCGTTAAAGCTATGCCCCCCATATTTAGGGGTATCCGATGTACAACACGATGCTTCGATAACCCTGGACGACTCACGTTTCAAAATCAATCGACCTCTAAAGGCACAGTTCACGAAAAAATGGTTTAGGAAATTTGCACATGGTTTGTATTCGAAGCCCCCTCTGATACCAATTGTGCAGGAAAGAGGTCGGAAAACGGTCTGGATAGGGCACAATAAGGGGCCGGAGAGTGAGCCACGGTAGCCCTCCGCCCCTCGCTAGGCTGACTACGAAATCTAATTGCCGTTCACCAGTTTCGCATTGGAGCGAAGTTGGTGAAAAATCGATAAGCTGGATAGCAAATTGCCAGAGGCGGTCAGCTGGTCGACCGCCTCCTTCTGGTACAAGTATTCGGCTGTATTTCTACTGTTCGACTAATGTTCTGCTCTAATCCGTTCTAGTAAATTATTCTCAGCCGTCATCAAAAGGATCAGGCACAATAATCTCAAAATCCTAATATCGTCAGTAGAATTAATAATATTAAGGAAGAAGCCAAAATCAGCCATCTGAGCGTATTGTGTGCAATGGCAGACATTACGTCGCATTCGTGTACTCTCCTGAAATTCCCTTAACCGCCGTTTTTCTATTATGAAACTCGTCCAACCTCTTTTCTCTTCTTTTTGACCGTTTATATTTCTTTTTTTCGCTGTTTTTTGCGTTTTATGCTATACCATTGTCCTAATGTAGGCCTTACCTATCACTATCTGTGAAATACCGGATACCCCTAAATTATCGTGAACGGTGCCCTTAAGTGATGAAAGGCTTAATCGGCTGCGCGGGCACCGATCCAATATTCGATCCTTGAATTGAATTTGAAAAGTAGTAGAGAACACATCATTGATGAACACATCTTTCTTACAATTGAACCCTCAATAGGTGAACTGGATGATGGTCAAATCGGGAACGACTGCTTCTCATTATGGTGTAGTGCCCATGAGATAAATTCCGTGGCTATACGAATTCTCGAGATTTTTGGCCTCGCGAACATCCAACTTTTCTGGATTATGCTCTGCTTGCCCATCTCTAATATTGGACTAGGTTAGTACATCACAGCGGTTCCTTTTTATCATCTTTTTATCTTTTTCAACGTCTTTTTATCTTCTTTACCTTTTCATTATCGCCGTCGTTTAAAAAAAGTCTAGTCTTTTTTATTGAGGCTGTAGCTAAGCTCTTGAATCTTCAGTAGTCTTCAGTAGCATGAAACAAGAGCTCTGGAGGCTGTAACGCTTCAGTGCGTTTCATAAGTATGGAATCACCCTTAAATTTGTTGTTTACAGGATAAGCAGCCAAGGAGAGAAGTTTTAAGCACCACTAGCAGACTCACCACACTGAATAACCCCACGCGCGAACATCTTTTGAAGCAACTCTACCATAGCATTTTTACAAATAACTTTCGAATTTTGCGCCGTTTCTTAAGTATAAGATCACTTTGAGAATTTGAAAAAAATCATCATTAGTAACGACAAAAAATATGTAGTATTCGATGGGTCTTGCTTGTTCTAGCCCAATATCGAATAGCCTACATGGCATGCTCGCGAAACAGGGTTTCGAAAGACCGCCGAAGATTTTATTTCAAGGTTCAAGTACTGCCTGCTTGAGTTCTGCTATCGTCCGGAACTGACGGTTGTTCGCATAAATCTTTTTTACATCGATGCCCTGCAGATTCTACACAGGGTTCAGATTGCAAGCTGGCCATGTCATAACTTCGAAATTTAGAAATGTCCTGTTGAGAAAAGTAGTTGGGACCACGTCGCCGGCTCAGTAATGGCACCATAGTGAGACTCCTTGAAAGTTCTTGTAGCCCATTTTGGAGGCCACGAGAGCAAGCTCCAGCCCGACATCTTTGCAGAAGGTACCCCGTACAGTGACGCTTCCTCCTCCAAATTGCGGCGACCTGAGTTGACAGGCTCTTTTCGTAAGTCATGCCAGTAGTAGTATAACCATCGGGTCTTCCAAATTAACATTTTTTCATCGGAAAATGAGACCTGAGCGAGAATATTGGACTGTATGGCTAATCGGTAATACAAGCTGACTTTCGTCCAATCTCAT